GACGGACGGACGGATGGGGCGCACGTGGAGGCCGCGTGGGCAGGGCGCCCACCCGTCTGCCTGCTCTCCTCTCCAGCCAGGGAAGCGTGGGGGGACCCTGGCGGAGGGGCCGGAGGCTGGATTCACAGGGGTTTGCTGGGCTTGGGAGTCACGGTTCAGCAGCAAGAGGGCTTCCAGCCAGACACCAGGAGGGACTTCCTGGGCCGGGAGAGGAGCCTGAGACACCCTCCCCACTTCGCCGGGATGCTCAGCGCCCATCGCAGGGGGAAGCGGTGGAGCCTCTATGTCCCCCCCGTCCAGGGGAGCAGGGTGGTGGGTGGCAGACGGAGGGGAGGAAGGTCGAGGCCTGGGCGGGGAGGCGGCCGCACTCACACACACTCACACCCCGCAGCAGGCGGCGGGAGGCGGAAAACTTGGGTAATGGGGAGCGTGAGTCAGCCGGCTGGCTAGGAGCGGGCCGCTGTGAGCTCATCACCTCCCCTTCTCCCAGGCCAGCACCCCCGCCGACAATTAATGTCAACTCAGAGGAAGGAGGAGCCAGACGGAAGGGGGTGCGGAGACAGGCTGGAAAAGGCATCAGAGAGAGGGAGCCGGCCGCAGCGGTTTCAGGCTTTATTAACAACCGGGTGTAAAAAACCAGATGGGTCTGGCGGCCCTGGGCTCCCACCTTCCCCGGGGCGGGCGCCGGGCTGCGCTGTGTCGGTCTCCTCCTCCTCCTCGCGGCCTCTCCAGGAGACAGCTCCCCTACAAGGCTCCGCTCAGTGCCTGGCTCCAGACTCACCCCCTTCACGCACAGGCATCAAACCCCACCCCGTTCACAGGGGCTTCGGCCCTATGTGGGGGGGCCCTTGTCCCGAGTCCTAACCCTTGGGCGTCAAACTTGTCCAGCCCCCTCTCCTCCTGGGAGGGAGTCGCTCCCAGGCCGGGAGCTCGGGAGGTGCAGACCTGCAGCGAGAGACAGGCGGGAGGTTTCTCAGCGCAGTGGGAGGCCGGAGGCGGGGCAGGCCGCCCTCTCTGGGAAGTTCACACACCACACATGGGCCTCAGCCTGCGGTGGCTGGTGTGTCTCAGCCTCGGCACGCCTGAGTCCCTGGGCCCTGGGTGGGCTGGGGATTCGCACAGGGAGGATGGGGATGTGCCCGCGCACAGTAGGTGGTCACACACACAGTAGGTGCTCAGGTTGGAGTCACAGGTCCTTGCTGAACTCCCTCACCAGTGTGTAGCCCATGCAGCCCCAGCCCCCCTCTGCCTGGTAGCCACAGCCCTCCAGCATCCCTGCCACGCCCCAGGCCGCCACAGCCACGGGGACCACGAGGCGGGCTCGGGGCTCCCCCACGCCCCCTGC